CATATTTGTATTACTGCTACTACTTGTGCGACGGCCTCGGCTACTTTCACTCCAAGTACCACTACTACTACTACTACGGCTGCTGCTGGCGCTGCTACTGCAATGCTTATTACTAGTATTGCTACGAGTGCTGATACTATTATTATTGCGACTACGACTACTACTACTACTACCACTACTACTCTTCCTACCACTATTACTACTACTAGAACTCCGACTAGGACTATTACTAGTACTGCTGCGACTGCTGCTGCTACGACCACGACTACGACTACGATTACCATATCCGACTTTGACAGCGTTTACTACCACGTTTACTACGACTACGCCCCTGACGCTTGTTATTGTTTCCCAGACTACGTTTACTACTACTACTACTACAAATATGACGACGACGACTCGTTGCACTACCACTACCACTACTACTACTACTACTACTTTTAGTACTACTACTTCTACCACTACTACTACTACTACTACTACTACTACTACTACTAGTACTACTTCCGATTACTACTTCTACAACGACTACTACTACGTCCTTTCGATTACTACACCGACTACGACGGCCCCAGTAGTAGTGTTAGTAGGACGACTACTATTACTACTGCTACTACTGCTTCTACGAATACGACTACTGCGACTACGACTGCTACTATACTTACCACTTCCAACACTACTACTAGAACAACTTACTATTACTACTTCTACAACTACGACGACGACTACGACTACTACTACGACTACCAGTATTATTACGGCTACTACTACTTGCTACTCATTATTGCAATTGCTAATACTACGACCACTATTACGACTACAGCCACCACTAGCATTATTACGAATACAAGTGCTATTACTATTGCCACTACTACTACTACTACTACTACTACTACTACTACTACTACTTCTACTACTACTCCTACCACTACTACGATTACTACTACTCCTACTACTCCTACTACTCCTACTACTACTACTACTACTAGTACTACTACTACTACTACTACTACTACTACTACTACTACTACTCCTATTGCTACTACTACGACGACTACTACTACTACTACTACGACTACTACTACTACTACTACTACTACTACTACTGCTACTGCTGCTCCTGCTACTGCCACTATTGCTACGACTACTAATGCTACAACAACCACTTCTACTACTTCTGCGCATACTACTTATACTGCCACTACTACCTCTACATTCTTGTATATGTCGTTGTCGATGTCGCGGCGGAGACTATTCCCCCTCTATTGCCAGGCGGGCTTGGTAATATTTCGGGGGTCTCTCTCCCAGGGAAGCATCCATTGTGCGCCACCCCGCGCGCGAGAGGACACATGAGCATCTGTTCGCTAGGTTTGCAATCGGAATCGGCGTTTGTGGTCGTAGTCGTGGTTATAGTCGGGATTGCCAGCGTGCTTGCGATCGCGAGTGTAGTCGTAGTCGTCGTCGTGGTTGTAGTCGTAATCGCAGTCGTAGTCTTAGTCGTAGTCTTAAGCGTCGTGGTCGTCGCGGCGGAGATTATTTTCTCTCTATTGTTGGGCGGGCTGCGTAATGTGGAGGGATTCTTCTGCCAGGGAATACATGTTCCCTGGGTTACCCTTCGCGATCGAGGAGTTCTGAAGACCTTCGTAAGAGAATTGCAATACAAATCGACAGCTTCTTCGCCGAATGCGTTGCCCACAATCTCCTCGTTCATCTCGTCGTCGTCGTCGTCGTTGTTGCGCCACGGGTGCCGCGGAGAACTAGGTATTTCTACAGTTAACAGTTGCGTCGAGAAGGTGATTTGTTTCCACTAATGGGGGGGGGGGTCGAAAGACCTATCTTGAATCCGTGACAGGGGTACGGTGGCAGATTCAGAGATGCTTTTGCCTGCGAAGGGCCGTCCCTCAAGAGCAGGGCAGGCCCTGCTAAGAATCATCATCGCCCGACCAAAGAGGCCAGACTCATTGAGTTGCCTGCGGCAGCTGGAATATGTGGGCGCTCTTGCCCTTTCGGGCATCAGTGGGGGGAGAGCCAACTCGCCCAAACACGGATGCCCAAATTCGGGTTCCTCTTCCTCCTCCTTTCCCTCCCCCTCCTCCCCCTCCTCCTCCTCCTCCTTCTCCCCCTCCTCCTCCTCCTCCTCCTCCTCTCCTCCTCCTCTCCTCCTCTCCTCCTCCCCTCCCTCCTCCTCCTCCTCCCTCCTCCTCCTCCCTCCTCCCCCTCCTCCTCCTCCTCCTCCTCCTCCTCCTCCTCCTCCTCCTCCTCCTCCTCCTCCTCCTCCTCCTCCTCCTCCTCCTCCGTGCGGCGGTGGCCTCGGCGGTCGCCTCGGCGGCGGCAGCCTCTGCGGCCGGCTCTGGCCCCAGCGGTGGCCTCGGCGGGGGCAGCCTCGGCGGAGGCGTCGTAAGCCACTCTGCCAGGGCTCGCTTCGATTCCTCCGATGCGATTCGATTCGAATTCGATGGCTTCCGATTCCGCTTCGATTCGACTTGGGATTCCGAGTTGGGTTCCGATATCTTATTGGAGGCACACTGGTCTGTCGATGTCCGCCCATTCGACATTTCCCGACTCGGCTGCCGAGCTCCGCCGATCTGGTTCATTTCGATTTCCGATCCGGCTTATCGATTCGATTCTGGGCTCTTCTGCTCCGGGCAACCAAACATGCAGTTGGGGTCTGTGATGCGTGCAATACCCCAGTCGGTGCAAAGAGACGGCTAAATCAGCCTGGCGAAGGACCCAACCATGCCATACGTAGTTGTGAGTAGTTGTGGGTATCGTCTTCGGTGGAGCTCCCTATGGGCCACGAAACGCTGCACTGGGAGGAGACGCGTGCGAACTTTGCCACTGGGGCCTTCGGTGGAGCTCCCTCTAGGGCCACGAAGCGCTGTACTGGGTGGGGAAACGCATGCGAACTTTGCCACTGTGGCCTTCGGTGGAGCTCCCCATGGGGCCTCGAAACGCCGTGCTGGGTGGGGGAGACGCATGCTAATTGTGCCACTTGGGCCGTCGGTGGAGCCCCCGATGGGCCACGACAAACTGCACTGGGTGGGGGAAGCGCATGTGGACTTTGCCACTGGGGCCTTCGGTGGAGCTCCCTATAGGGCCACGAAGCGCTGTACTGGGTGGGGGGGGACGCGGTGTGGATGGTGCCATTGAGGCCTTCACGCATGCGGGCGGTCCCACTGAGACCTTCGGTGGGTCTCCCTATGGGGCCCCGAAACGCTGTACTGGGTTAAGAACACGCATGCGGACGGTGCCACTGGGGCCTTCGGTGGAGCTCCTGATGGGGCAACTAAACGCCGTACTGGGTGGGGGAAACGCATGCGGGCTGTTTCATTGGGGCCTTCGGTGGAGCTCCGTATGGGCCCCCGAAACGTTGTACTGGGTGGGGGAGACGTATGCGGACGGTGCCACTGGGGCCTTCGGTGGAGCTCCTGATGGGGCAACGAAACGCCGTACTGGGTGGGGGCAACGCATGCGGACAGGGGCAATGAGGCTTTCGGTGGGGCTCCCTATGGGGCCGCGAAGCGCGAGTGTGAGTAAGGAAAACGCATGCGGACGGTGCCACTGGGGCAGTCGGTGGAGATCCCAATGGAACCACGAAGCGCTGTACCGGGAGGGGGGGACGCATGCGGGCGGTAGCGTTGGGACCTTCGGTGGGGCTTCCTATGAGGCCACGAAGCGCTGTACTGGGTGTGCGGGACGAGTACGGGCGGTCCCACTGGGACCTTCGGTGGGTCTCCTTAGGGGGCCTCGAAACACTGCACTGGGTGGGGGAAACGCATGCGGACACCGCCGCCGGGGCCGTCGGTGGAGCTCCCCATGGGGCCACGAAATGCTGTACTGGGTGGTGCGTGACGCATGCGGGCGGTGCCACTGGGGCCGTCGGTGGAGCTCCCTATGGGGCCAGGAAAGGCTGTACTGGGTGGTGCGTGACGCATGCAGGCGGACCCATTGGCACCTTCGGTAGGGCTCCGTGTGAGGCCACGGAGCGCTGTGCTGGGTGGTGTGTGACGCATGCGGGCGGTGCCCCGCTGAGGCTTTCGGTGGGGCTCCCTATGGGGCCACGGAGCGCTGTGCTGGGTGGTGCGTGACGCATGCGGGCGGTCCCACTGGGACCTTCGGTGGAGCTCCCTATGGGGCCCCGAAAGGCTGTGCTGGGTGGTGTGTGACGCATGCGGGCGGTGCCACTGGGGCTTTCGGTGGAGCTCCCTATGGAGCCACGAAACGCTGTACCGGGTGGTGTGTGACGCATGCGGGCGGTGCCACTGGGGCTTTCGGTGGGGCTCCCTATGGGGCCACGAAGCGCTGTACTGGGTGGTGCGTGACGCATGCGGGCGGTCCCAGTGGGGCCTTCGGTGGAGCTCCCTACGTGGCCACAAAACGTGTGCTTGGTGTGAAGAAATGGATGATGATGATGATGATGATGATGATGATGATGATGATGATGATGATGATGATGATGATGATGATGATGATGATGATGATGATGATGATGATCATGATCATGATCATGATCATGATCATGATGATGATGATGATGATGATGATGATGATGATGATGATGACGATGATGATGATGACGATGATGATGATGATGATGGTGACGGGAGGGAGGAGGGGGAGGAGGAGAGGAGCAGTGACGCGGGGCGCTGTCTCTTCAAAACGAGCACCCAACACCACAGGATGGTTGGGACAAATGTTTCTTGGACGGGTGAAGCATTGCAGTAGGGGTTGGCGTTGCATTCAATGCCCCGATCCATGACGCGAGACGGCCAAACAGTGGTTCTGTGAGCGGTGGTGCTGCTCCAGGACGGAGGGAAAGTCACTGCCAGGTGCAATGGTCCTCAGGCGTGTGTCAGTCCAGGCGTGTGTGTTACCCGGTTCGGCTCCGCCGATAGCGCGTAGCCTGTGCCGACATTCGCTGTGCCGCCTGCGCCATATTGCAGGGCCTTTGTGGACCAACACGCGTTGGCGCTAACATACGTTCTGAGGATCATCGACAGGTTGCTGGCGGCGAGGACGGCAAGGCAGAGGCGGGGTACGTGCCGTCGTTCGCCATCAAGGCGATCCCCGCGGGGAGCGGCAAGGACCCCCTCCGCCAGAGGCGGGGAGCCGCCTCTCCATGAGGGGGGGAGGTGACGGGGGTTTCTGCGTGCCGCTGTCCGCGCCCTCACCCGGTCCTGTCCTCTTTCGCGGTCCTTCGCCCCATGCTGCCCTGCCCCCGCCCTCCACCTGACTCGACTGCTTTTCGGTGTTCGGCCTCTGTCGTCGCGCTGCAGGCTGCTCGTCCTTGGCCAGCGCACGGCCAGCGCGGATGCGCTGCAGGCCCAGCTCGCGCCGCGCGCTCTCGAGAACGCCCTGGTCGCGTGCTGTTCGGGGCCAGCAGCGTGCAAGGCTGGAGATGAGTGCCACGTCAGCTTGGGCTCCCGCTGAGCTGCGTACGTGGCGCCAGCCTTCCTTTCGTCGGCAAGGACACTGCGAAGCTCCTCGCCGAGCAGAGTAACAGTACGAAGAAGCAGAAGCAGAAGAAGCATGGCAAGCACGACGACTAGGCACGGCCACTGCGGGGTGGGGCACGGAGGAGGAGGAAGAGGAGGAGGAGGAGGAGGAGGAGAGTGAACCCAACCCCAGAGTCTCTTCTCTTCCTATTCGCCGCTTTCACTCTTTACAATCTCCTCGCTCCCCTCACCCCACCCATTTCAGAGACGGCCGCCGCGGCCGTGGTCCCCGCTGCTCGGGCAGCGGTGCATCGAGTATAAGCAGATCATCCAGTGACCGCCCTCGGTACGAGCCAGGAGGAGGAGGAGAGCGGCACTCTGTCCTAGAAGCAGGGCGCCGTGGGTGATAATGGGGACACGGAGTCCTTGAGAGGGTTGTGCTTTTTGCGGGGGAGTGCACCGTCGAGACGGGGCACACACGACGTGCCGTCGGCACACCGAATATGACATCTTCTTGCGAGCGGGTGCCCCACGGAAGGTCCTTGTCCCGCGATGGCCCCGGGGCCCACAGAAGCTCTGGTCCGCCGCAAGGGCCCTTGCAGATCGCCGATGAAGATGCCTTACGCAGCAAGACGTCTTACCGTACGTGTCTGCTGTGGCAGTGGTTGTGCAGTGCGTTTGCCCTTGCCAGCTGCTCGAATTTGCATGTTGCGTGTCAGCGTTGCAGAGCGCGAGGATGCAGGTCGAGCCCAAGGGCAACTTTCTGAATAGACGGTTTCCCTATTTATTCCAAGCTCGGGGTGTGAGCCTTACCCCCCGGAAAATCTTGCAGTGAGTACAATGATCAGTTTCATCGGTCCAGCGCGTGCGAACATTGATACGGACGATAAAGAAGGAAGGGGATACTGACTGGTGGGAATCATAGGTATGAGGGCAACGGGCATTTGCAATTCTCGCAGACGCCTGCGACGAATCACCGCCGCGCCCTGCCTATTGAAAGAGCCTATGTAGCCGAAGGTTGCGGCCAGAGCTCGGCCAGGCCATCGGATTACGTATTCCCCCAGCCGTCGTGGACACTGTTCAGAGCACGTGGGGGAGAAAGAAGACACGGAGGGGAGGGAGGAACGTGCAGGGGAGGAGGAGGAGGAGGAGGAGGATGACTCTTGGGAGCCTCTTGGGGCACTCTTGTGGCCTCCTTGGAGTTTGGGGCCTTCGGAGGTTCATTGGGAGGCTCTTTGGCCGTCTGTGGGCCTCCCTGCGCCGTCCGACACCGTCAGAAGCCGTCTTGCGGGCCTCTGGCCGTCTTGGACCGTCGGAAATCCGACAGTGATCAAACGCCAGACTCCTGCAAAGCACAATGTTTTGATTCGCGGGTCGAGAGCGCACCTCTTCGGGTCGAAGCTAAGCGGGCCGCGCACAGCTTGAATTAACAAAGAAGGGAAGGCAGAAGGAGAGGCCTCACGCCAAGGCCAGGAGGGGGCAAATCCCCGGAATCAGGCGGTGCCGAAGACGACGTGCTTGCAAAGGAATGCCTTGTACAGGACCCCTGCAAAACACCCAAGCAAATCAATCTGTGTGTGGCCTCTGCGGGCCTTCCTGGAGGTCCTCTTGAGGCCTCTTGGGCCGTCTGATAGGCCTGTTGGGTCGACTTGGGCGATCCTGAGGCCATCTTGGGCCATCTAATTGAGATGGCCCAAGATGGCTTCAATAAGGCATATCCGCCCGTCTTGGGGACACCTGGGGAAATTTTTGGAGGCCATCTTGGCTGCCTCGGAGGCCGTCTTGGGGCGACTTGTTGTGGACGTTGAGGTCTTTACGCGGTTCTCTGGCTGGCGGGGTCGGCCGAATGCCCATTTAGAGTTTTTACGGACAAAAAAACAACCTAAAGTTTGGCACGCCGTGCATCCCTGTGGCAAGCCACAGGGGGCCGGCGGGTTTAGTGGCCTGCGGCCCATCCTGCCGCCGGCCTGGGTCACTGACCAGAGACCTCTTGGGTGCACCGAAGGGTCTTTCGAGATGCCTCTCAGGGGCATCTTGGAGAGCTCTTGCAGGATCTCACGGGGGCCTCTTACGGGCTTAGGGGCCTCAGGGCCATTTTGCGGGTCCCTTGGGCCGTGTTGGGGTTTTCTTAAGGGTATCTTTGGGCCGTCTTTGGGTGGTGATTTGCTTCTCGAGTCGTCTTGGGCCGTCTTGGAGTGTCGAAGGCCTGGGAAGGCGAACGCGCTGACACCGAGGGCAAAACGAGTCGGGCTGTCTCAGGGCCCTCTTGGACCGTCAAGAGGCTTCGGTTGACCCTATTGGCACATCTTGGGGGTTTTTGGCCTCGGGAAAAGTCACGCGGGGAATCCTATGAACGAAATGGAGTTCGGTGAAACTGGGTGCCGAAGGCACGGTGGCTGATATGATTTGCCAAACCAGACGCGCCCACGGTGAACAGGTCTGAACAGGTTTTCTGTCCCTCTACATTCGTGTTGTCTCCCGGCGGGGCCGGGTGAAATTCTGTGCCCGCCAGATGGATTGCGTTATTGATTGCGTGATTGACGGAGGACCTTTCGGACAACACATCTTGGACCGACCGTTGCCGCGGGCGCTCAGCAACGGGACAGTACGCCCTGGGCCGCGGGCGACCGCAACCGGGCAGCCACATTGTGGGCCGCTGGCGCCAGCAGCCGCAGCCGACCCCGCAATCGTATGTGTCAACGGGGAACAAAACACACAGACACCAACAGCCATCGATTTCCAACCAAATTATGGGAACACATAGAATAATGCACGGGGAGACTGACGTAAACAAGATATTGAAACTTTTGGGAACACATCCGGACATGTGTGTCTTTCTCTCTCTCTCTCTCTATATATATATGTGTATATATATATATATATATATATATATATATATATATATGTATATATGTATGTGTGTGTTTGTGTGTGTATGTCTCCCTGGCGGGCGCTGGCAACCGCATCTGGGCAGCCCGCTGGGCATGCAGGGCAGCTGCAGGGGCCAAGCCCGACGGCGAGTCGGACACCAGCAGCCTGAAGCGAGCGGATGAGGGCAAACTGGAGGAGAAGGAGGAGAAGGAGGAGGAGGAGGAGGAGGAGGAGGAGGAGGGGGAAGAGAGGAGGAGGAGGAGGAGGAGGAGGAGGAGGAGGAGGAGGAGGAGGAGGAGGGATAATTGCTGAGAGCGCCCATTCTGCATGATCTTGTCGGGGCAGGAAGGCAGCGTGCAGCAACGCGCGCAGTATGCACATATGCGTTGGCCTGCTTGCGTCGTATAACCGATGCTGCTGTTCGAGCTGCCCCTCAGGCAACGTGATGCGGACGCGTAGACGGCGTAGCGGGGAGAGACCCTCCCTGTTGCTTACAGTGTCTTGTCAGCTTTGGCCGTCTTAGGCTATTCGCGACAGGCCCTCATCGGAGCTTCCCGCGGCCGTGACCCCACTGGGAACCTTTTGGAAGGGATCAAGCAGTGAACATCCAGCACGCAGTGCAGCCCTCTTGCGGGCAACGTGGGGCGGCAGATCGAAGACGCCTACAGCGAATCACCGCCGCCCCCTGCATTCTGGAAGCGCCTATGTGGCCGAACGTTGTGGCCAGAGCTCGGCCGAGCCATCGGAGGAAAGAAAGAAGAGGAGCAGAGATTGAGATATCGTCTGGCTTTCCCGGAGGTTCTCAGAGGCCTTTTGGGGCCCCTTGGGCCGTCTCGGGCCATTTGGGGCTTACCTTGAGCCGTCCTTGATGCATCTTGTGCCGTCTTAGAGACGTCTTGCGGCCACCTAGGGCTCTCTTGGGGGCATCTTGGCCGTGTTGGATGCCATCTTGAACGTCTGGGAGGTTTCTTTGGATCCTCTTGGGGCTGGCTTGGGTACTCCTTGGACAGTCATGGGGACATGTTGGAGGCCTCTGCGACGATCTTGGGGCGATCTTCGGGGTTTGTTGGGCCGTCTTGGACCATCGGATGATTGAAAAGGTTTCAAAACCAACAACCGAAAACAAAAATCAATGATTTTGACAAATTCGATCATTAGTGTGGATCTTCTTGGGGTCCTCTTGGGCCGTCTTGTATGCCCCTTGGGGGCTTCTTGGGCCGTCTTGGACCATCTTGAAGCCATTTTCGACCGTCTTGAGTGCATCTTGGGGCGTCTTGGAGAGATCTTTCGGCCATTTTGGGCTATCTCGAAGCTTTTCGTTGTCTTGGTGCATTTGGGGACCATCTAGGAGGCCATCTCTGATGCCATCTCAGCTGTTTTGGAGGCGATTGGACCAACGAGGGGGGATTTTCGCGGGCATTCCGGGTGGCTGGCGGTTTGGGCCGAAGCCCCCTGGGGAGATCATTTTATTAAAAAGCAACCAAGAACCACCCAGACGTCCAGCACGCCAGGCACCTTTGTGATGAATCAACTAGGGGCAGCGGATCGAGTGGCCTTCGGCCCATGCCGATGCCGTGTCTGGGTCGTGGACAGGAGGCCTCTGCGCGAATTGTTGGGGTCTCTTTCATCGGGCGACGAAATCTATACATATCCACTGCTCCCTGACCATGCCCATCTTGAACCCAGGAGCTGTGTATGCGCCCTCCTGGCCAAGCCAGGAGGGCGTGGCGTATACACCGCTGCGGGGTTGAGGATGGGCCTGGCCTGGGAGCAGTGGATATGTATAGATTTCGTCGCCCTATTTCAACGCCAGGGTTTCCAAGCAGGCCCGAAGGCCTCCGCAGAGGCCCGGGGCGGGAAAAGTGCGGGAGCCAGGGCGTGCCCCCCGAGGCGTCGGAAGGGGTCCCCCGCGGCGCCCCGAGAGCGCCCAGGAATGCCCAGGGCTCGGGGCACCCTGAGCCTCCTCGTCCTCCTCCTCGTCCTCCTCCTCCTCCTCCTCGTCCTCCTCCTCCTCCTCCTCCTCGTCCTCCTCCTCCTCCTCGTCCTCCTCCTCCTGTTGAGGGCTCGGGGCCCCGAGAGCGCCCAGGAATGCCCAGGAATGCCCAGGGCTCTGTCATGTTGAATGCAGAGAATGCGCAGGGACCTGCGGACACTCCACTTCGTGCCAGCGGCACGGTGGCGGACATGTTTGGAGTGTGCTGCCTTCGCGTTCCAGTTGTTGTCTCTTCGTCTTGCAGGCATCACACGCTGCGTCCGCTCACTCCCTTTTCGGAGGCCATATGCCTCAGGCGCCTCGCCGTGGGCATAATTCGCCGCGTCGGCTTCGCAATAGCGTAGCTTTCAATTCCGATGGCAAGGAATCCAAATATACTAGGAATCTCCCTCCTCCTTCGCCTCCCCCTCCGCTTCCTCCTAGTGGGGGCTCGCGTGGACCAAAGCGGTCGCGCGGCTTGTTTTAGTTTGTGCCGCAGGGAGCCGTATGGACCTTGCCGACGTCGCAGTTTGCGCCGGGGCAACCACCGGCTTGCAAATACCCAACATCGTGCCACCTTGTCGTGTTCTAAGAGCGCCTGCTCGCCTTCATCCTCCTCATCCTTCGCTGCGCTTCTACTCACCAGCCCAGCAGGGCTCATTTCGATTCCTTCGGTTCGAGTCGATTCGAGTTCGACGGGTGCCGATTCCGATGTGATTCCACTTCGGGATTGGATTTGGGTCCTGATTTCTCAATGGAGGCCTCATTAGCCTGCCGATTTCCGCCGATGCGGCTTCTCCCGACTTGGCTGCCGATTCCAACCGATTCGACTCATCGACTCGATTCTGAGCTCTCGTGTCCAATCCTGTCTCATATCACTCTCTGAGTTGTGCCACCCGCGTCCAGATCACCACCTGCCCCTCGGCGTATCGTTAGGCGCTCTCCATTGTCATGCCGGGGGGGGGCGAATGTCTCTGCTGGCACAGTGCGGCTTCGGCCAGGGTCGGAAGGGTGGCTGGACGAGGCGCGACAGACGGTCGCAAAGGTGCGCTAAGAGGTGGGCCAGGAACGAGTGAATCATATTTTTTACCAGTGCGCATACACCCACACCTTCACAAAGAGGAAGGACAAGTATTCGTTGGCTGGTTGTCGATCCGACCCTCACGGTCGGGGGGATCAGTCTTCGAATGCATCACTAGGCAGAACGTATATGCGGCAGCCAAGCGCTTCCTCACCCTGGTGGGCGACCGCGGCGGTGGCGTGCCCAGTGCAGGCTCCATGTCGATCCGATCGATCCGATTCGATCTCGAGTTCGGCCCGCCCGATCCAATTCGATTCGGGCATTTCGACGACTCGATGTGGCCTGCTGCTTGCACGGTGCTGCTCTGCATTCTGGTGCAGCCGATCCAATCCGGTCCGATTCCGAATCTCTGCCGGTGCAGCCCGATCCGGTGCGCGTTCTGACCCGATCCGACCCGATTGCCGGGTTCGGTGCCGGTGGTTCCCCCGGATCTGACGTCGGGGGCGGCAAAGAGGGGGGTGATGACTAGGGGGGGGTGGATATCATGGCGTGGGCCACGATATCTCCCCAGATTTCATGGCGCCTCTTCTTGTTTCATCACGTCCCTGGCCCCCCCGCTGGGTCGCGCACATGCCGCCGGTCATGATTTGCACCCCTCCCTCTTTGACGCCCCCCTCTGTGCCGCTCCCGATGGCGTTGCCAACACTGTGCAGCCTCGCAGAAAAAAAACATATCACAGGAGCTCTCGAGCCGGATCGAGCTGTGAGGGCCCCATGTGGGGCCGGGAGCCCGACGAAGAGGCTCGCTGTGAGGACAGCTTCGGAGGCAACTCCTGGGAGGTACAATTCTGCTTCTGCCCTGGTCGAAGGATTGCAAAAAAGTGAAGGATTGCAAAAAAACCTGCTTAAACGAAGGATTGCAAAAAAAAAACCCTCACTTGAACGAAGGATTGCAAAAAAACCCGGCTTCATCGCGTTTGATCCGGCTGATATTCCCGCTGCATCCGGCGTGATCCCGCCTAATCCGCGGCCTACTCCGGCGCAGCAGCCTCCAGTAGTTGCCTCCCGACCCAGACCCCCGACGGCATGATGCGTTCATGACGTCGACCCCCCAGAGGTCTGGACCCCCATAACAAAAGCTGCAACATCGCAAAACAGCACGCCCGGAGCCCTGGCACCCACCTTTCTGCGTCAGCTTTCGAACCGCATCGATCCGTGAGGGTCCCGGGGCCCGAAATCTAGAGCGAAAACGCCCGTTGCGAAGAAATGGCAACGCCAGGATTTCCGGGAGTCTCCCGTCATACGGGGCGTGAAAACGACCACAGCCAATGCTTTTCTTTTGGTGCCGCCTTCCAGCCCGCAGAAACAAAGCAGTGGCTGTGGTCATTTTCGTTGAGTTTGGCACCAGGGAAATGACCACAGCCACTGCTTCTTTTTCGGCCTGCTGGAAGGTGGCGCAGACAAGAAGCAGTGGTTGTGGTCATTTTCCCGTCCCGCACCTCACGATCTCTCTCACGGCCTTGGCATCGCTCGGGCGTGTGCATTTTTCTTGGCGAGGGCCACCGAGGAGCAGCCTCGATCATTTGGCGGAAAAAAAAAACACGCACGAAACCAAACAAAACACAGGAAATGGACGTCCGAACACAGAAAATGCACGTCCGAACGTCCGAAAACAGGAAAGACAAAAACCCAGAAAATATGGGAAAATATGGGGCATCCTTTTATTTGTGTGTATTTATGTGTGTGTGTGTGTGTGTCTTTGGGCCCCTTGAGTCACGAGCTCTCACGGCGCGAGGAGGTCTGGGTAGAGAGCGCCTCGCGGCACGCCGCCGCCCCGCGCCCACGCCCGGGGCGCGCGCGGGCCCGGGCCCGCGCCCCCTGCCGCGGATCGCGCGCGGGGCGAGAGGCGGCCGCCGCGGGCGCGGTGGACCCGCTCGGGTGCGAGGAGGGGGGCGAGTTGTCACCACCCACCAAACCACCCCAACCCAACCCGAAGGCCTCACTTTGCCCTCCATTTCCAGTTGGGGGGGGGTCGGGGAACACTGAAATTACGCTACCGAGGAACCCCACATACTTATATTATGGCTGGAGTGATGAGAGCTGAAGTGATGCATGTGAGAATGATGTTGGTGGCCGTTGCCCCGCCGATACCGCTGTGCCCTAGACGTGCAAGGTATTGGGCCACCAATTTTTCAGCTGGCGGCGGTACGCGTGAAATGCGGGGAGCACCGTCGCTTCAGAGCAGCAGCGTAAGCCTGCCAAGCTTACCTCGCCGCCATTCTGAATCATTTCTTTCTTCAGCGACGAGCACGGAGGCGGCAGCTCGCCCATGGCAATTTTAGGCGGCATGGCTAGCGCGCCTGCGCAACAACCAACTGCGGCCTTCGATTAGGTACCCTGGCGCTCCGAGCTGGCTTGAGCCAGAGTACTTACAGATCTGGATACTGCGCAAACCCATGCAAGTGCAACTGATGGAATTCACCCGCGATACCTGCCCCCTACGCACCCCCCGCGGCGCGGAGAAAATGCCACGCCTGCCACGCCCCGCGACCCTGAGACGGATAGAATCCGCGGTGACGGACCACCCCCTGCGCACCCCCTGTGGAGTGGAGAACATGCCACGCCTGCCACGCCCCGCGACCCTGGGACAGATAGAGAGACCAATGAGAGACCCCCCCCTGCGCACCCCCTCTGGTGTCGAGAAAGTGCCAGGCCTGCCACGCCCCGCGACCCTGAGACGGATAGAGAGACCAATGAGAAACGACCCTCTGCGCACCCTCTCTGGTGTCGAGACAGTGCCACGCCTGCCACGCCCCGCGACCCTGAGACAGATAGAGAGACCAGTGAGAGACCACCCCCTGCGCACCCTCTCTGGTGTCGAGAAAGTGCCACGCCTGCCACGCCCCGCGACCCTGAGACGGATAGAGAGACCAATGAGAAACACCCTGCTGCGCGCACCCTCTCTGGTGTCGAGAAAGTGCCACGCCTGCCACGCCCCGCGACCCTGAGACAGATAGAGAGACCAGTGAGAGACCACCCCCTGCGCACCAGTGTGAGAGACCCCCCTGCGCACCCTCTCTGGTGTCGAGAAAGTGCCACGCCTGCCACGCCCCGACCCTGAGAGAGATAGAGAGACCAGTGAGAGACCACCCCCTGCGCACCCTCTCTGGTGTCGAGAAAGTGCCACGCCTGCCACGCCCCGCGACCCTGAGACGGATAGAGAGACCAGTGAGAGACCACCCCCTGCGCACCCTCTCTGGTGTCGAGAAAGTGCCACGCCTGCCACGCCCCGCGACCCTGAGACGGATAGAGAGACCAGTGAGAGACCACCCCCTGCGCACCCTCTCTGGTGTCGAGAAAGTGCCACGCCTGCCACGCCCCGCGACCCTGAGACGGATAGAGAGACCAGTGAGAGACCACCCCCTGCGCACCCTCTCTGGTGTCGAGAAAGTGCCACGCCTGCCACGCCCCGCGACCCTGAGACGGATAGAGAGACCAGTGAGAGACCACCCCCAGCGCACCCTCTCTGGTGTCGAGAAAGTGCCACGCCTGCCACGCCCCGCGACCCTGAGACGGATAGACAGACCAGTGAGAGACCACCCCTTGCGCACCCTCTCTGGTGTCGAGAAAGTGCCACGCCTGCCACGCCCCGCGACCCTGAGACTGATAGCGAACCGCGGTGAGAGACCACCCCCTGCACGTCTGTGTGCTGTTTGCCTGTTTGCTGCTTGTGCGTGCTGTGTCTGTTTGTGCTGGTATTGTGTACGGGTGCTGTTTGTGTGCTGTGTGTCTGCGTGCTGCGTGTATGGTGGATGTATGTGATGACTGTGATGTCGACTGTGGATGTGTGTTTGCTGTGTGCTCATGTGTCTGCTTGTGCTGATGTGGGGAACCAGAAAAAGAGAGAGGGAATCATCACACCGGCCCCTGGATGTGTGGAGGGAAGAGGGAAGGAGGGGTGAGGAGGAAGAGGAGAAACGCGGGTGCGACGCGGCAGGGAAATAAAACCAGAACCCCACTATGCATGTGGGGAAAAACACATATGGAAAGCGTACCCCCCCAACCCGAAATTGGGGTCTTCGGGTTGGGTTGGGGTGGTCTGGTAGGTAGTCAAGTGGCGCAGGGGAGACCCAGAGATCCCACGCATCGAGAAGATCGGGACGGAGGGTTTTTTGTTTTTTGCAGTTTTCTGCCTCGGCCCCAGGACCGACAAGGAAGGACTCAGGATAAGAATCCGGGGGCCAGACTTCTGGGGGCCCCGTCTTGACAACAAAACACGACATCGGATCTCTGGGGGGCCCACACGCGCGCAAGGGGAGTAGGGGGGACCCAGACCTTCGACGTCGTGATTTTTTCCCAACGTCGACACCCAGAGGTCTGGACCCCGTCCCCGGGACCGGTTTTTCGTCCTGAGTCGCCTTTTGACGCTCCGGGGGCCCCGCAAGAACCCCCGCCGCGGGGGCCGAAGAGGCTTCTGCTCCTTAGAAGAGGGCTGCTTCTTAGAAGGAGGCTCCTTAGAAGGAGGCTGTTTCTTAGAAGGAGGCTGCCTAGATCCATAATCGGCGATACCCGCTAGAGTGTGTAGGTACGACATTCAGCAGAAATTGC